ATTTTTAGTCTCTCATCATGCTTCTTGTGTTCCAAGTTAGTCAAGGAATAAACTGGTACATGTTAAATTAAAAACCTACTCTGTGTAATTTAGGTCTAATAAAAAATATATTTGGTACATGCCTATAGTCCCAACTGCTCAGGAGGCAGAGGCAGGAGGATTGCTCGAGTCTAGGAGCTGGGGCTAGTCTGGGCAGCATAGCAAGATTCCATCTCTTAAACATTCACAGACACACACATGCATGCACACACATACACACATTCAATTACTCTTGTAACAAGGACTTAGAAGCTGCTTTTGCTAAAAGCACAAGATCTTCTCTTGGGCTTACAAATACCCAATGGGTACCTAAAAGCAAGATAAAATCTTGCCATCTCTGCCTCCATTTTGAATCCATCTCCTTTCCTCTGAGTCCTTTTCTCCTACAGTCACCCTGGACTCCAGAAACAACCGATCTAATTGATAAACATCCTGTGATAAGTCAAAACTACCCCTCTGGCAGTAGCAACATTCTTATGCACAAAATAATGATCAATAGGACCACAGACCAAGACTGCTTGATTGTGTGTATTTCTGCCCGTGCTGCCCCCGACCCCCCTCTATATAATCTGGGACCTCATGTCAGTCCCCCAAAGAAAGGGCTAAGAAGCTTGTCCTCTTTTCTTCCCAGTAGAGCTCTACTGATTAAAGTTCCTTTCCTGCCTTTCACCATTACTTTTTTGTTTAATTTCTTTGGACAAGGGGTGGACCTTCTTCATTGGGACCTCCAGAGGTGAGCCTCTGACTCCATTAACATTCTTAGTCCCTTGTTTCTAGCACAAAGTTTCTAAAACTCTTGGAATTTCCCGAGTGACAGGAGTATCTTTTGCTTTTCATAAGGAGCCTCTTCACCTACCCCTGAGTTTCTGCTAATAAGGCAACTCAGGTTGAAGTTCCTAGATAGTTTCAGAATAGGGGTTGGTCTCCAGAAGGACCAAATTTTTGTCCTACTCCCTAACCTCCAGGGAGGAGGAGAGCAGAAATGGAGTGTAAAACTCTTAACCCTGGGACCCATGGAGCTTCTAGGTTGGCAAACACAATGATGTGCTGAGATGGCAGTATCCTGATATAGCATGGATGCTCTTTGTGCTCTGCCCTATATATCTCTTCCATTTGGCTATTCTTGAGTTGCATCTTTTTTTTTTCTTTTTGTTTTGTTTTAAGTAAACCAGTAAATGTAAGCAAAGTGCTTTCCTGAATTTTGATAGTCATTGGATAGCTAGTGATTGCACCTAAGGAGGAGTCACAGGAACCCTTGAATTTGTAGTGGGAGAGGCAGAAGTAAATATATTCCGGGCATCTGAAGCAGGGGAAACCTTGTAGGAAGGACCCCCTGAGCTGTTAGTGTCAGAATTGAATTGAAATTTTGGACACCCATTTGGTGCTGGAGAATTGGAGAACTGATGTGGAAAATCCCCACACATTTGGTGTCAGAAAATATCCTGCAGAAATGAAAATACTACGTTATCAAGGAGAAGGCACAAAAGAGAAAGACAGTTACTCAGAGTTTGCAGTCAGTTGGGCCTTCAGATGCGCATGAAAAAAATGCATAATTCCAAGCTGTGTTGATAGGTTCCCAAGAAATGAGGCAACCTCTTTAATCCTTGGTTTTGACCTCAAAATCCCTTTCAATTTCAAGGTGGTAGTTTTATTCTAGGATTCTCAGGCATGCAGACAGTAGGGTTAGAAGAGGGAAAAAGGTAAGAGACATCTCCCTGCCGCTCACATGGCCAGAGGCTTGGTTTTGAAGCCTGCTCTCAGGAGGGTCTGCCATACTGCTCAGCAAGGTTCTTGGTGTTTGCTTAGAGAACATTTGAGATCCTATACCAGAATGCAAGGTAGGTTATCACAGGTTTGCATGACCACCTAGGATGTTAAGAAATTTCTTCCTTCTGTACATTCAGGACATAGCACTTAGCAGTTTTCTCCCCAATGATGTGCTCTTTGATTTTTCCCATTCCAGGTAGAAGGAATGCCACAGAACCTCTTATATGTGGGAAAAGACTTCTTAATATTTCTTGTTAATCAATGCCTTTCAGTGAAACCTTTGAATTTCCACATCCCACAAAGACATTTGGGTCAAAAATGCCAAAGAACAAGAGTTTCTAAGACTTTGAGCAGGTGATCCAGCTGCCTGTGCACTCAAAGGTAATTTGAAGATGTCTGGGGAGGCCTCCTGGCCAGAAGTAACTCCTTGTCTTAGAGAATGATTCCTTCATGTGGGACTTAGAGACATTCAGGTCTGAGAGGTCCTCTAGAAAGATAATACAGACATTCCCCCTAATCCAAGGGGATATTTTCCAAGACCCCCAGTGGATGCCTGAATCCACTGATCATACTAAGATCTATGTATCCTGTGTTTAATGTTTATTTTATTAATTAGGCATAATATGTTAGTCAGCTTTCTGTTGCTATGACAAAATATCTGAGAAAATAAACTTAAAAGGAGGAAGGATTTATTTTGGCTCATGGGCTCAGAAGTTTTAGTCCAAGGCCACTTGGATCTGCTCCCTTTGGGCCTGTGGTAAGCAGTACACATGACAGAAGCATGTGATGAAAGAAGCTGTTCACCTCGTGACAGCCCAGAAGCAAAAGAGAGAAATGAGGATATGGAAAATATGTAGTTTGTCCAGAAAGAGAGTGCATTTAAAGGAGGTATGATTACTCGAGATTAGTGCCATTAAAAAGGAGTCAAGTACTTTGCAGTGGGACAGTAAAAAGGATGCCTTAAGGGACACCTCAGGAGTCAGCAAGACCCTACCCATCAAATATGCAAAAGTGTTCACGTGAGAAAAGAGCCCCAGGGTAACCTGCTCACCCAGAGCCACCTAAGGAATTGCTTCCTGGGACTCAGTTCCCTGCATTTAGAAGTCCAGGCACTCAGATGCCACTGCATGGATCAAGTGCACCTGGATACTGCTTGAGATGGTGGAAAACCTTGGTGTCATCTATATGAAGCTGGTTTTGCAGGCATACAGAATGCAAGAATTGCAAGATCCTGGAGGTTTCCACTGAGATTTCAAAGGAAAGTCTGGCAGTCCAGGCAGCATGTGGCAGGGTTGGAATCCCTGAAAGCAGCCCCAGAGAGGGTGACATGTGAAGTTGTGAGTGATTCCCAAGCTGCAATGGAGACCCCAAGAATTTAGAGATGCCAGAAATGTGGTGAACCTCCCAAGGGAAGCTGCAGATCCAGAGAATGACCATGTGGGCTGCAGCCAGCAAGACCAGACTACAGAGGCAGGGCTACACAAGCCTGTGGGGACCCACATCCCATAACTGAAAGAATTCCCCACGCAAAGACACTTCGCCGGGAGAATTCCAATTTTATTGCAAAAAGCTGTGTGCTTATATAGAACTAAGGGGGAGATGGTAGGGCTTAGATTAATGGCAGGCAACCCGTTTATTGGCAAGTTCTTCCAGATATCAGCTCCGGAGCCCAGGAATTAGTTCTCATTGGAGCTAAGGTTCCCCGCCAGCGAGATTTGAAATTGGCGCCGGCGGGAGAGTTCACACCGGCGGGAACTTTTCCCGCCACTGCAGAAAAGAAGAAGGTAGGAAGAAGAGGTCCTTAGGCGCCATGTTGGGGTTTTTTCTCTGGGGTATGGCTGCCATTTATACTTTTCCCAACAATAACTACATGCTCCAGATACTGAACATATAGCTTTAGAATTTAATGTTCGCCCTGCTGGGTTTGAGTTTTGCTTTAGTCTGTTTCCCCCTTAATATCTTTCTATTCCTTCTTTTATGAATGGTAATGTTGACCCTATGCCATTGTATCTTGGAAGTATGTAATTTGTTTTTGTATTTTTACAGGGACTTACAGCTAAGAGTTTGCCTTGGATCTCAGAGGATACTTTGGACTTGGACTTTTGAACAGTGATGGAACTGTTGACGTTGTGGGGACTCTTGGAGATGGACTAAATGCATTTTGCATTGTGAGGACACAAGACTTTGGAGGCCATTGGAGGAATGTATAGTTTATATCTCTAATGTTCCCCAAATTCTCCTGTTTAAAGTCTTGGTTGCCAGTCCATCGCACTATTAGGAGATAACAGAAACTTTAGGAGGTGGAACCTAGTGGAACAAAGTGAGATCATTGGGTGCATGTCCTTGAAGGGATATTGGGACCCTGGTCCCTCCCATTCTCTTTGCTTCTTGGCCACCATGATGTGAGCAACTTTGCTTTACCATCACATTCTGCTTTGCCACAGAAGATGAGGGTCCATTAACTAAAACCTCTGAAATGTGAGTCAAAATAAATCTTTCTTTTGTACAAGTTGATCATCTCAGGTATTTTGTCACCATGATGGAAATCTGTCTGCACATTAAGAGATTAACAACAATAACTAATAAAAAAAAAACAGAACAACTATATCAATATACTATAATAAAAATTGTTTAGAACATATAAATTGTTTATTTCTGGAATTTTTCCATTTAATACTTTCAGGTTCCAGTTGACCTCAGGTAATTGAAACTTTAGAAAGAAAACCACAGATAAAGAGTAGCTAATACAGCTTAGAATCCCAGAATCACTCAATTAGAAGGGAGGTTGGGAATAATGTAGCTCATTCCCTTCCTTTTGCCATTCAGAGACAGGTCTTTATTTGCCTGGGGTCTTGTACCCAAGCTATTTCTAAATATTTCCAATATTTTTCCAGCATCATGAAGCTGCCTCTTTTATCTATGAATATGACTCTGGGGGAGGACTCTTAATAGTAGTCTTTGAGGGGCTAAGGAAGAAGGAAGAAGAAGTAGGACCCAAGAGATGAGAGGACACTAACCACATTTCTTGCATTTCCCCTGGAAATATTGAAGGAGAGGCATGGTAATACCTCATTGCTCTTGGATATTCTGCCTTGGGGCCAGCTATAGTGAGAAATAACCATATTTGTTTAGAGGTCTTTATTAGTCAGGACAGGATACTATAACCAAGTACCAGATGGGTGAAACAAACAGAAATTTGTTTTCTTACAGTTCTTGAGGCTGGATGTTCAACATCAAGGTGCCAGAAAATTTGATTTCCGGTGAAAACTCCTCCTGACCACAGATAGCTTCCTTCTGTCTATGGATTTGTCCCTCACATCATATTTTTCTCTGTGCCCTGCAGATGGATGGAGAAAGAGAGGGGAAGGAAAGGAAAGAGGGGAGGAAGAAAGAAACAGAGAGTCAGGGATTTGTCTAGTATTTCTTCTTCTTCCAATAGGCACCAGTTCTATTGGATCAGGGCCCTACCTTTATGACCTCATCTAAGCCTAACTCTTTAAAGATTCTATTTCTAACTACAGTCACATCGGGTGTTGAGAATTCAATACATGAATCTGGAAGGGACATAGTTCATCCCATGATAGGGTTATTATTTTACTCTGGAGAGAATCCCAAGCTATTAGTAAGCAGTTCATCTTGTTAGCGACATGACTTAGCAAGAACTAGGTTTGCCATTCAAGTCACTTTTACTTTTTTAGCTGATAAGGTTTCCAGCTTCATGGGGCAGAAAATATTACTCAGGTAAATGAGTACCCTTTCTCCCTGCACTCATAACCCCGTGGACAGAGGACTTACACTTGCATTCATAATGTGCTCCCATGATGATCTTATCCACCTCCTCTCCCATGTGGTAGACTTCTTGAGGGCAGAGCCTGTGTCTGGTCTCATTCACATTTATGTTCCCAACCCTGCTCAGTGCCCATACCCATTAGATACTTGACACATATTTGATGGATGGAAACAACCTCCTACAGTTATTACTACTGAGGCAGATTTGTCATGAAGCTAATGAAGCTTAAATTTCAAGGACCTTCATTTAAAGGACATTCATTTGAATGAGACTAGATGCCTAGTGACTTCAAATTCATACTTCAGTATTCTTTCCCCAAAAGAGACCCACCCCAACACACACCCCAATAAAGCAAAAACTCAAACCCCAAAACAACAAATGGTGATGTAAATTTTAGGCTCTACAAAACTTGGGTTATGCCTCTGGGTTGCTGGGAAGAGGTGTAGTTGTCTGCTATGTTTCCTATTTCTTGTTTGCCATTGAGGTGTGTGTGGGGGAGCACTTCAAATTCATTTCATCTTCCCTAAGACCATTTTTGAGAGATACAATCTTGCCTCTCAGGCATCCTTTGATAAAAGGAAATGAAAATGCTGGAGCTGTGTGCTTGGCAGCATGGAATACACTGACTTCCAAAAGTCACATTCATTAAAGACAAAACAAGATGCACAAGAACGATTCCAGGAAAGTATTCTTCTCACCGATTATTACTCATAATCCTCAGGGAGGTGGGAAGAGCAGCCACTTAGGTGAGCCTTTTTATCATGTTTCTTTAGGAGCCCAGTCATTTGCCTGAACTCTCAACTTGGAGGGTCATTTGTTTCTTACAGCCTGCAACATTAGGGACGAATCTTTAAGTCCGTTTGAAATTGTTTTTCAAACCTGCTCAAAGGCAAGTTGTAGCCATCCTGATCTCGCCTTAATATCTCTTAATATCCCACTTCTCTCTTCTCCTTGGTCACTGTCTTGGACTCTTTGACTCATTTTTGCACCTAGCACTAGGTAAGTGGTCTTCTTTCTTCCATTCTTGACCACCTTCAATACATGCTCCATGTGATAGCCAGAGTGACCTTTTCAGCATAAGCAGTGGATTGGGTAACTCCTGTGCTTGAATCCCTTGTAGGATGGTTTGGATCCAAGACAGACAATGCAGGAATGTTCAGAAAGTGAATGATTAGATTACGAGAGCTGCAACCGGATCAGTGGACTAATCCACTTATTGGATTGGTATTTTAAAAGGACTACTACATTGGGCGGTAACTCCAAGCTGGCAGGCATGGCTGAAGGAAGTGGTCACTGGGGTGAACCCTTGGGGATTACACCTTGTTACCTGGCTCTTTACTCCCTTTCTCTGCTCCATGAGCCGAGCAGCTTTCCTTTACCACACCCTTCTGCCATGATCTGTGTCAGCTCAGGCCTGGAGCAATGGAGTCAGCCAACCGTGGGTTGAGACCTCTGAAACCACTGAGCCCAAAAATAAATTTTTCCTCCTCTAAGTTTTTGTCAGGTATTTTGGTTCAGTGGCAAAAGGCTGACCGACACACTTGGTAGCTCTCCATTATATTCAAGATAAAATTCAGGTTCTGTTGCATATAAAAGGCCTCAGACCTGGTTGCTCTTTGACCTTCCTTATCTCCCTCCTTGCGGGCACTTTAGTATGCAACCTCCTGAGCACCTCTCCTTCTTCAAAGGTGCTGTGGTGTTGGGCTCTCTCTGACTTCTGGACTTTGGCATGGGTAGGTTTCTACTCTCCTGACCTGTCGCTTACATTCTCCGTTTAGTTTTGTCTAATAGAAATATTATGAGAGGCACATATTTAATTGTACATTTTAATTGTAAATTAAACATTTTACAAAGTAAAAAGTTTATGAACAGTAACAAAACAGCAATAAAATCTCCATAAAACAATGGCAAAAGTGGATGTAGCCCTACCCAAACTGTGGACTTGTGTTTAATGAAAAAAAAACAAACCATTTCACATTGCTTGTTTCATATTTTAATTAAGTAATGGTAAAAATTCACTTCCTCATTCAGATTAGTCACATTTCACATCCTAAATAACCCCACTGAGCTGGTGGCCACCTCACTGAATAGCCCAGGTTTAGACATCAACGTTCTTTGACATTCCCTGCCTACATTAGGGGCCCTCATTATTGTACTATGATATTCTGTGCTTAACCTGATCACAGTACTCATTATACTGTGATATAGTTGCCTGTTTGTCTTTGTTTTTCATTAGCCTCTGAATTTCTTGACAATGAAGACTTTGTCTAATTCATCCCTGCATCGTCAGCACCCAACAATTCTGGCCTAAAATAATTGCTTGGTTTGTTTGTTTGAGTGAGTTTGAATGCCTGACCAACAACAATCCTCTATGGACCTACAAGGCACTACAAAATCTGGTCCCTTACTCGCACTGACATCATCTCTTCCACTCCCTTTTGTTCATCTATTTTGACCACACTGACCTCCTTACAATTCCTGGAATAACCTAAGTATGAGCTAACCTCAGGGCCTTTGCACTATGTTCTCTGTTCCCCGGGGAAGCCCTTGGCCAATTCGCTTTGCTTGCTCCCTTATTGCTTTTAGGTACCTCATTAAAGCTGGCTTCCCCCATCAACCATTTGAAAACAGACCCCATTGGTCATTTTCTAACACCTTGACTTTATTTTTCATCAGTGAGCCCATCACCACTTGGCATGTTATTTAGTTAACCTGAATTTCCCACTAGAATTTCATGAGAGCAAGTTGCATGAGAGCAAGCAGGTTTTTTTTTTTTTTCCTGTAGCTTGCAGCAATATATTCTCCAAACTTAGAATAGTCCCTGGCACCCAATACGTGCTCAAAAAATATTTATTGACTGCAAGGGAGACTATGCTCATAGAGGAGCCTGGGGAAAGGGAAAAGGACAAGATCCTCAAAATCAGAGTTCCAGAAATTTCAATATTTCTTCCATTTCAAATTTTACAATGTCCAATTGACTTGAAAAGTCATCCAGTGACCAGCTTTTGCCTTGGTACAAACGTTACTACAGGATAAAAAGGATAACCATGAATTTTAGAAGCTTGAGACTTCACAAGTATGTCCAGTTCTCTGTCCTACAACCACACTGATCCCTGATTCTCTAGAGGGAGGAGGGTTGGATGGATGGAATGTGGATGACAGAATGTTCCATGGCAGTTGGTGAAGACTACCAGTTGGACGGATGGGAAGGACTCCATCAGGATCCACTGAGCAGAGAGGACCAGGTAAGAAGCTGTCAAGAAGCCAGAATGTGTAAATCCTGAGTGGCACTGAGGTGTAGCAGAAAACACAAGGCCCAGGAGGCAAAGATTTGCATTCTGACTGGTTGGTGATTTGGGGAGAGCTACTGAATCAATGCTTCATCCCCACTTGCAAAAATAGAGATAATTTACATTTCACAAGATTGCTGTGAAGATGACTTGACATGATGAATGTGAAAGTGCTCTGTGACTTTTGACAAGCACAAATTATTAGCTCTGGAGGCATTTGCCCATGAGTTAGTTCTCTCGTCTGCCCACCCTACACCTTCAATCACTGAATTTACTGATTGTATACAACCCCAAGGTTCTGTAAACATTTATTTTGTTATAAAACTCAAGCTCTTTCCTCCTTAACCTCAAGATTAAGCAAATCAAATCTCAATCTGGTCTAAGGGAACCTTCATAATTTGTGATTTTAAAAGCCCTATCTTAAAAAAAAATTTAAAAAAGCCCTATCTTAAAAATAAATGAATAAATAAAAATACAAAGCCCAATCCTGGCATTTCCATAAATACTATTTTCCCATAATTTCTTATGTGATTGTCTTATTCCCTCAGAGAAAATGTAAGCTGCTTGATATGGGCAGAGACTTCTGAGTCATTCAGTGCTAGGTTTAAAGCTTGACTTTGCTTCTTATTAGTGATCAGGACTTCAGGCAGGTTACTTCATGGGTTTAAATATTAGTCTTCTTATCTGTGGTATTACCATGATAATAATATCCTTTGCAAAAGTGTACCTGTGAAAATTAAAAGAGATAATGCATCTAAAGTTTTTAACCCAAGACCTAGTATAAGGTAAGAGACTAATGAATTGTACCTTACTAACTGTAATTACCAGCAATAAGACTAGGTATATACTAGAAATGGGGTTTTCTCAAAATACCTGATGGGGAACTGGGAATAAAGTAATGGAGGCAGAATAACTCCAGGCCAAACTGGGTGTTAGTCTCCCAGCCTATGAATAGAAACTGAAAGGTTTATGGCTTCCTGACCCAGGCAGAGACTTAAACAGCAATAAAAGGCAATATATTTTCTCGGGTTGACAACTGATAAATCTCATTTGAAATATGACAGGCAGAGAAAGGGATTATTAACAACATTTGTCTTGAAATGTTGATCAGATGCCTGGTTGTGGGACATAGGTATGGGGTGGCATAACCCATGTTTTCGAGGACATTTCCCAATTTCAAATGTTCTGTCCCATTTTCAGACCTGGTATCTTGATTTTTGTTCAGGAAATTTGATGGAAACCAATGTAGGTGCATTA